CTGTGGGAGCTGTCTACCGCACATCAAATCCCAAGGTGTTAGAGGCCCTGGAGGTGCTGCGGCGTGACTTTGAAAGGACTACGGTTAGTTTCTGGTGGTTTTTTTGCCTCTCCGGCTTTCCAGCAGAGCACTGCAGTTTTCCCCTTTTTTCTACTTTTTTAAAATCTGCTACACTGATTTGGGAGACCCTCCAGTTCAGGCGGTGAGTACTTTAATACCGTTTTAGTCGCAATTTTTTGCTAGTCCGACATGTGTAAGTTTTTTGCACATAAGCTTTCTAGCCGCTGTTGTTGCCACATGATGATAGTTCAACCCTCGATTTCGATGATGTCCAACATATGCCCAAGAACAGGGACGGTGATTGGAGACAGAGACGAGATTTAAGTGAAATAGATGCGCAACTGTCTACCTCATTCTAAACCCTTACCCGTTTGATCCGGTAACAAGACAGAATCAAGGCGACCGAACCGGATCGGGCGTAGCCGCCTTCTCCAATGCAAGCCAGAACACCGCCTAAATTTGTCTTTAGTGGCAGCAGTCTTTTGCGCTGTTACTACCGCGCTATTTACCCTCACTCACATTCAGTAGGACTTCTTTGCCCTGCTCAGGCCTTTGGGCAAGGTCGCAGTGAATTCGTATCATTGTGGTCTTAATGGCACATTCTCAGGGATCTCCACCGTTTTGTGTTTTGAGACCGACCAGCTTGCCTCGTCAGCTACTGCGCCAACATCCATATTCCGCCATCGTGACCTTATCTTGTCACGGGAGCCTCACAGGTGTGGAGAGGTGACGGTGGCGAAGATGCTTCACAAGTGTATCTTACAAGTGCAAGCAGATTCGCACGTATGGCGCCCCCGGAATCCTCAACACATTGGTAGTCGTCGTAGCTAACACCGAGGCAACTGGTAATTGCGCTCCTAAACAGCCTACTGTGTAAGGCTATCGACAACTCCCACGAAGTCGCTGACCGCGTCGAACTTACCCTGGTCTCTTGGATCTGATATTTTGGCATTTTTTAAATGCGACAAGTCCAGTTCAAATCCGGTGTTAGTCTCGTGTTTTTTTTGTCTGTGTAAGGCTTCCTATCTGGTATCTGTTCTGGCCGAGCTGGATTAATGTGTGGTCTGATTTTATCTAACTGAATTTAATTTTATTTTCGGTAGCTTAGGTTCCGCTTTTCAGTGACAGCTTTCTCCTGTTAGTCGAAAGGGGGGTAATGACACCTAGGAAACGATTCCCCACAGCAAGTCACTCTCATCGCTTACGAAGAAGTGTCCAGAGGGCACGAG